AAATCTTCCACCCTGAAGTGACACCTGTCTCTTCTCACATTTGATTGGCCACATCGCATTTCAAGGGTGTGGGGAAGTACAAATCTGCCTTGTGTTCAGAAGAGCAGGAAATATTTTGTGATATCATTAATGACTACCACAGCCCAGCTTTAATCCATAACGGCATGCTGTAAGTTGGTATTATTATGTCTAACTTAACAATGAAGTCCCAAGAGGTTATGTCACTTCCCCAGTCCCATGCCGGGAATAAGTACAGATCCTTGAACTCGTGGATATCAAGTCACATATTTCACATTAATTCCTTAAATGTCCAAGATGCTTTAATTGCACTGTTAAATGTTTTCATGTGTGGTCTTCTCTACCTGCTGCTTGTCTAACCCTGCAACAGCCTCTCACAGTGCTTCCTACTCCACTCTGCAATTATTGGTTCAGTTCCCAGTCTCCCCTCTGGAGTCTTCATTGCTGTATCCCATGAGTCTAGCTCAGGGTCAGGAACAGAGCTGTCTGTTGAGTCAACATGGAGAATTCTTAGTGGAAACGGGAGTGTAATGATCTCATAGGCATAGACCCAGCCAGATTAATTGAGTCTTAGTGGTTTGATCAGGAGTTCCTGGGTGGTGCAGACAGTTAAGCGCTTGACTACTAGCCGAAAGGTTGATGGTTTAAACTCACCCAGAGGCACCTCGGAAGGCAGACCTGGCAGTCTGCTTCCAAAAGGTCACAGCCTTGAAAACCCTATGGAGCACAGTTCATCTCTGACATACATGGGGTCTCTATAAATTGGAATTAACTTGATAGCAACTGTTTTTGTTTGTTTGTTTTTTGTGGTTTGTTCCTTAACACAACCTGGCAATTCTTTAAGAAACCAGGTGATTGTCATCCATGAAATGCTGGTGACCTTGGGTGGATTGTTCAAATTTTAGATCCTGTGGCTGGAGACCCCTGAGAAAACTGAAAATGTTCTTTACCAACCCTGAGCCTTCACTGATCTGGCAGCTGGATAAAAAGAATTGTTTTCATGGGCGCTGTAGGTCTAGTTGAAATTGCCTCCCCCATTAGAGTTTCTGAGCAAAGTGCACTTTTGTATAGCAAATCACATATTTGAGATAATTCCTTTAGAATGTCAGAGATGCATTTATTGTACCACCAAAGGTTTTTGTTTTTATTATTCTTCCCCCTATTTAGATGCAGATGTTGGACAAATTTCCCATGGAAGGAGGACAGAAGGATCCCAAACAGCGGATCATTCCCTTTCTGCCAGGTAGGTGAGATGCATGCTCAGACTTTGGGGGTTGGGGGACTTTGGTACAGACCCCAGATGTCTCAGGACACTTTACTGGCTCTTCTTCTTTGAGGCATTGCCAGAGTCTATGTCATTTGTAGAAACTAGTGGCTAAGAATATGGGCTTTGGAGTTAGATGCTATACCATTTACTAGCTAGCTGACCTTGGGCAAGTAACTTGGATCATATCAACGATGTGGTGAAACTCATGTGAAATTGTGTAAACACAATTAAGCCTGTGTGTATCTTGCTTACTGGGTAATCTGCCCCGGGGCAAGTCAGTTTACCTCTTGGATCCTCAGTTTCTCCCATCTCTAAAACGTGAATAATTATAGTTTTTATAATAAATGGCATCTGTTATTAAGGCTACTGTATTGGTTTTCTTTTGTTGCATTACAAATTACCACATACTTTTTTGTTGTTAGCTGCAGTCTTGTCGACGCTGACTCGTGGCAACCTTATATATAACAGAACGAAACATTGCCTGGTCCTATGCTCCGTCCATGATCTTTGATATGTTTGAGCTCATTGTTGCAGCTGTTGTGTCAATCCATCTCATTGAGGGTTTTGCTCATTTTTGCCAGCCATCTACTTTAGCAAATGTGATGTCCTTTTCTAGTGATAAACTTAGCAGCTTAAAACAACACCCATTTATTATCTCACAGTTCTGTAGATCAGAAGTCCAGTTGGGCTCAGCTAGATTCTCTGGCTACAGTCAAGGTGTTGGCTGGGCTGGGCTCTTATCTGGAAGATCTGGCAAAGAATCCACTTCCAGCCTCATTGTTGGCAGAATTCAGTTCCTTGAAGATATAGGAGTGAGATCCCTGTTTCCTTGCTTGCTGTCAGCCAGGAACCACTCTCATCTTCTAGAAGCTGCCCACATTCCTCATCACATGGCCCCCTCCATCTTCAAGCCAGCAGTGGAGTTATCAAATTTTTCTTGTGCTTCAAATCTCTCTGACTTCCCCCTTCTGCCACTAGTCAGAGAAAGTTCTCTGCTTTTAAGGGCTCATGTGATTACATTGGACCCATTTGAAAAATCCAGGATAGTCTTCCTATCTTAAGGTGAGCTATGCCACATAATGTGACATAGTCACAGGACTGCTGACTCATCATATATGCAGGTTCAGGACATTAGGGTGGAACTTCTTTGGGGGACCATTTTAGAAAATCTACCTACCATGGCCACCAAGCACTGTCTGAGTGCCAGGCACCACACCTGGTGCTATGGAGGATATAATGCAATAATATCTAGTTCTGCTCTTAAGACATTCAGAGTCCCTCTCCCCCTAAAAAAATTCCTTACCAAAGGAAGCATCAGAGCTTCAGCTGAAAAAAGTGGGTTACCCAGGCCAGTGTACTGCTTCCAGTAATGATTGATTAGATATCTTCTGTGGACCAGTCACTGGGCTAAATGCATGATGCTCATTACTTTGTTTAGTCCTCAGAACAGCCCTGCAGGGTCGAGATTACTGTGCCCATTTCACAGATGAGGAAATTGAGGGCTCAGAGAAGTTATAATCCCTTGCACAAATGGTAGAGCTGGAATTTAAACATAGGTATAATTGGCTCCAAAATTTATGCCTGGAGTCAGATGTCTTGGGTTGAAATCCCAGCACTCTTCTCACCAGCTCTGTTGCCTTTGGTAAGTTGCTTCAGCACAGAGTTTCGTTTCTTCATTTGCAGGTTGGAGATAATCACAGTACTTAATGGTGGGTTGTAATGAGGGTTATATGAGTGCCTGGGACATAGCTAAGAGCAGTTAAGCACTTCCTATTATTTTCATGTACAGATAGTCAACAGACTGACAATCACTCTATTACGGATTGAATTGTGCTTCCCCCCAAATTTTAAGAGTTAGGCTACTAACCAATAAGTCCACAGTTCGAATCTACCAGCCGCTCCTTGGAAACCCTATGGGGCAGTTCTGCTCTGTCCTATAGGGTCGCTATAAGTCAGAAATCAACTGGATGGCAGTGGGTTTGGTTTTTTTGGTGAATGTAATCCCATTTGGAAATAGAGTTTTCTTTGTTATCTTAATGAGGTCCTGTCAGTGTAGGGTGTGTCTTAAACCTAACCACTTTTGAGATATAAACCCAAACCTGTTGCCATCTAGTCAGTTCCAATTCTTAGCAACCCTATAGGACAGTAGAACTGCCCCATAGGGTTTCCAAGGAGCAGCTGGTAGATTCGAACTGCCGACCTTTTGGTTAGCAGCCGAGCTCTTAACCACTGTGCCACCAGAGCTCCATCTAGCACATACTCAAACCAAACCCAATGCCACTGAGTCAATGGATGAGGGGATAGGCCCAGAGATGGGTCAGGGGATGAGGGGACTCTACCAGGGTCACAGAAGCCCAGTCTCCCTCCCCCGCCCTGCCTCCCCCAAGGCTCTGCACTCAGCACATCAGTGGGCTCTCCCAGGGATCGTCATTGTCAAGTGGGCTTAGAGACAGGGTAGATGTGTTTGCCAGGCTCCCCTCCACTGGGAGAGTCATTTGCCTAAAAAAGCTACCATTTTTAGTTCCTTCATGGGGAAAGTATGCGATCACACTGGAATTGCTTTTTCCTGCTAGAGAAAACCCAGTGTGCCAGCTGCAACTGCCAAATACCAGTGCTCCAGGCATGTGCTTTGGAGTCCGTCAGACCCAGCCTTGTGACCTCAGCAGGCACATCCCTCTCTGAGCCTCAGTTTCCACATCTGTAAAATGGGAACAGTGACCCCTGCTTCACCAGGTGGAACCCCTGATACATAGTAGGTATTTGGTAAAGGCAAAAACAGTATCCTAGGACATCCCTTTGGAATTTCTTGGTTTCATATGTAGGAGTCATACTTCAGTGATAATCTGGATATTCAAGTGAAAAAAAAAACCAAACCTGTTGCCATCAAGTTGATTCCAACCCATAGCAACCCTATAGAGCAGAGTAGAATTGCTCCATAGGGTTTCCAAAGAGTGGCTGGTGGATTCGAACTACCACTCTTTTGGTTAGCAGCCAGGCTCTTAACAACCGTGCCACCAGGGCTCCATCTGGCACATACTCAAACCAAACCCAATGCCATCGAGTCAATTCCAACTCATAGTGACCCTATTACCCAGTG